CCCCAAAACCCCAAAACCCCAAAACCCCAAAACCCCAAGTTTAATAATCTTTATAGAAATAACAATAAGAATTTTAGAATATGAGTCGTAATGACTGGAAGGTAACCTAATATCTTATCACAAGTAATTCCTCCCAACTTCAAGTCTGGGCTTAAGAAGTAATATCAAGCTTGCTAGATTCTGAAAGTTTATTGGCAAAAGAGCACGAGAGGATGAGGTGCATATTGAGTATCTCCAAATCATCTTGAACGCTTATAACTCTTCATCGCTACTTTTGGCCTTGAGCCATAAGTCTTAGATAACAGAGGAGTTATCTCTTCAGTGTTGATCGATATTTATATAGCTGAATAGTTCAAACTGAAGACCTTGTTTAAGTCATAAACTTGTCAAATGCTAGACATTTAATTTGGAATTACTTGTTCATAATTCAACAACTATTTCTTATAACAAATTCTTAAGCTCTTTATCTAGACGTTATTCAATAAGCAGAGGAAAATGACGCTGATTCAGCCCTTAGAGTTTAGGAGGCAGAGAGCATCTCCTGCGAAGAAATTAGGCAGCAGTTTTAAGAATTTCAGTAAGCTAGTTAGTATATAGGGTCTCCTTAATATGGCTTTTAGAAATCTCAAAGACTAATGAGTACGAGAATGGAGAAGGCTCAATCGAAGATAAGGTACTTTCATGTCTACCATCTTTAGAATAGGAAAGTACTCTATGTGAAGAAATGGCTGACCAAGAAAGGCAGGTTTAATACACCTGATTTGACACGGTATGAATCTGACTTTCTTCTGACTTTATTTAGGAATTTTGAGACTCAGTATGTCCAAAACCCGAATGAAAGATCTGCTAATAGCTTCTTAAGATCAAGGCTTTATAATGCTGCTGATTTGAAGTAATACATTAAAAGAGCAAGTGAAGGCTCCAAGCAAGATGTAAGCCACCTTAGAATCATTCCCAGCAAGCAAGGTTTTCAGGCTCTCGTTTAGCCTGATTATTTTAGAATCCTAGTTTTACAGGTAGTTAGAAAGTTTTTGTAACCTCTAAATAAAATCTTGGTTAAGTTGACATCGCTCAGATTGTATCTAGGGTAAGAAATCATTCCAGACTGAAGCAGGAAATACACTTATTTCCTTCTTTGAATCCGACATTGTTGAAGAACACAAGTAGCGCTGAAAGGAACCCTTATAGGACAGGTAAGACTTTACCTTGCTAGTCTGATTTTTGGCTTAGAAGAAGCTCATGATTGATTGTTCTCGAAGAAAGGGTATATCATCAGGAGAAGAATTCTTGGAGATCATACCGATTTTGAGAGGAAGTTGTCTGATGATCCCGACATTGCCAATTCTCCTAGTAAGTTACCTATCAATAAGGCTTGGCTTGAGGCAACTCTACAACCTTTATTTTCTGAAGAGTTATCCATTCATTTGATGGTTTATTACTGTTTATGATATATCTGTTTAGTCACTAGAGGACCTTCGCTAAAATAATTTCAAATTAAAATACTCAATGAAAGAAGGTAGCGATATGGCAGGTTGTTAACTGTTTTGTAAATTCTATAGGCTATAAAGGGCTAAACTCCTCTCATATCGAAAGTTCTCCAGATCGGAATGCTTCTCTTGGAAAAGCTTACTCAAAGGCAAGCCACCCAACTTTTGCAAGCAAGATGAAGGAATTTGACAGTTTGCTAAAATAACAAAATGCATCGGAATTTGAAACGAAAAGCCTCTAAAACATTTGCAAATCCTTCCCTTCTAAGTCAGTGGTCCTCTCTAATCTGTAGAGTTTAGCGAATTTAAGCTCAAGCCAAAACCAAAGCGGAAGGGGATTAAGCTAGAGCAGCTTCATAAAGAAGCTGAAATATTTATTCTTAAATCTAAGCGGAAGAAATTTACACAAGAAGATCTCAACAGATTTATAAGGGAAGTTGAGATCAGAAAAGATCTTGAGGAGCTAAATACAGGCACTCTTAATTGATCCATACTTACCAAAAACACTGTTGAGGACCAGCTTGTGCACAAGTATGTCTTACCTGTCTCAATCCGCTTAGAAAGGAAGAGAATGCATTAGGGACTTATGATAAGTACATGCATACATGGAACCGAATCAAACAGAACATTTCTAAGTGGACCTCTAAGGGATCTAGTGACAGCTCCATCCTACGGATAGTATCTACTTTCTGATATTTTAGGACAATAGCCATCTCAAGCCTTCTTCGCACTACTTCTGAAAGCAAAAATAAGCAAGCCAAGCGAGTAGATTAATCCTTATCCTCATAGACTAAAATGATGGGCAATATTAAACGGATGCAGATCAACAACAACGTGGAGATGATTAAAAACCTAGCTAAGAACAAAGACGAAGAAGATGCACTTTTGAAGGAGCTGACAGACCAGTTCAACCAAGAGGTAACCTAATTTGTGATGCTTTAGGACCCAGAGATGACCATGTTGATGAACAATATGAACCTATCTGAACCTATGTGAGTGAATCCTGTCAAATAATTAACTATTGGGCTTATAACATGGACTTTAGCGAAGATAAAAAGGAAGATACCTTTGAGCAAGAATTTTACACAGATATGGATTCTACAGATAGTTGAAATGACTTTGATATTGACATCACTAGTAATTTACTCATGAAAATTCCGATATAGCCTCTATCAAAGAGACCAAAGACAGACAAAGAGACAATATCAAGATCATTGATGACTTCTTAGTCATTGGAAAGAACAAGCTCAAGGAAGAGCTTGGAAACGGTATGGAATCTATTCTCATCTTCTGGAGAGTCTTGTGTTTCATATTTCTGACATTCTCTAGTTGCAAATTTGTTGACAGATCCACAGATCCAGAACGGTGAAAGAAAGTAACGCCAGCAACTTAACCATTGTAGCCTGTATCTGTATACAAATTCACACCTTGATGAAGAAGGGATTGGTGAACCTAATGAGAAGGAAGAGGTCCTGATCCAAAATTAAGACACTAGAATCAGAGCATTTTCAGATTTAGAAGTATTATATTTTAGCCTAAAGCCAGCACTTAATTATTTGGTAATTTAAGCTTCAGTTCAGATCTTGTTTTACTAAAAATGACTTCATACTGTAAAAAATAAAGAATGAGTTGGAATATGGGGCATTATGAAGGCGTATTTAGAAAAGTCTAAATATCATTTTAAAGGGGAGAAGTCTCCATCATCGTCATCACTTATTACGCATAGTAGTTATCAAAATCCTGAGTTTCTCTTGAATTTTCAACCAAAAATAGCAATGAAGGGGTTTTGGGGTTTTGGGGTTTTGGGGTTTTGGGG